TCCATATCAAACTTCCTATTCATAAATACAAAACGCATTTTTCCAAAATAACTGGAACAGTCCCAAAAACAGGTGGGTTCATCTTCTGTCGCTCCAGACCGCAAAAAGAAAACATTACGTCACTGAGCAGCGCGTCAGCCGCAAAGGCTTCTGGGAGAATTTTGCTGCGTTGGAGACATTTTGGATTTAAAGGGGCTGAGCTGAGCTAGCTGTCGCTCCTAGCTCTCGGTAAGTGAAAGATAACCAACAAATCCCGCAACATCTCGTCCCGTGTGCGTGATTGTGGATTTACGATGTGTTTATTAAAGTGGTCTCGTTCTGAAATGACGAGTTTGGCTCCTTGAAAAGCGGAAACYGTTTGGCCTGGGGAGGGGTGATGCTAACCGGCTAGCTTAGCGCGCTAACGCAGCCGCAGAGAGGCAAAAACACTAAACAGACTGGATGAAGTGCGCTGTGCCAGAGGAAAACGGTCATAAATATGCAAAATAAAGTAAAGCGCTTTTTAAATATGGTGTATGGTCTCATTAAATACCACGTTGCAAAAGCAACATTATWTTTAGTGTAATTATAAACCTTTTTTAATATATAGATTTATCGCTGTTGTTTTTCCTATCRATGGTTTAGTTATAACAGCTTCCTCAGGTTATTGTTGCAAACATGACTCGTCATGCAGCTGGTTTTGGTTCCACAGCTGTCTCTGTTTCTGTTTGTACTTTCTAAGACTGACTGGTTTGTTTTAAATATCTGGTGATGGTCGTGTTCGGAGCAGCTGCCTGGCTGCTGGAGTGATGGATGACTCGAGGCTCGGTCTGAGCTCCGCCACACCCTCCCTGAGCCCGGTCCTCCTTTGTGTCTGGCTCTCTGGATCAGATCTCTGTGTTTTGGATCGATGTTTTGTGCAGGAAATGGAGCTAGAGTTCGTGATCTGTGCTGGTGTCAGACTTCATCATCTCTGAGGGGGTTGGCTTTTCATTGTGCATCCACTGCAGCAAATCAAATTTATTTTCTCTCTCATCTTTTTGTTGTTAAACAAAAGAGAAGTCATAGATGAGTCATAAATTAAACTGGGCAGGAATAACCACAAATAAACCCCACATGACGGAGCTCCTCAGACTCCATTTTAGCTGCTTTWATCCAGGATCACGTCTTTTGGTTAAAGRGTCTGTGACATGCCRATCCATCAAATACAAAAAYTCAAAGAAAACACATGTTTATATAAGAAACCTTGCATAAAACAGGCGATTTTACCCATTTTGTCACATAAATGGCCTATTTTCTTTTGAACTTGGCTCAGCCAAAGTGCAACAGGAAGTGACATCAAAGGGGAACTCTTTAATCTTTATCGAAGCAATATTATTTGAACTCCGACTCATCTCCATCTCTTTGATAGTGACTCAAAATAATCTAAAGAAACATCAGATTCTTCTCTACAGTCTGTTATTAGTTGTAGAAATGTTCTGTTTAAATTCAGACATTCCCCTRTGACATCACTTCCTGTTTCTTTACATGCAAATATCTCAACAACRGTTCATCTAAGCTGCGGGAAATTATTTTTGCAATATACTAATCATGTTATCGTTCCAATAATGCCTTAATATTTATTTTAAAAATTTCACATCACAGGCACTTTAAGCTCCCATTATATACAAATACCCTTATTTAACCTACAATACAGCCGTTAATATCCACTTTTTATCATACCTGAAACTACTAACACCAGGTATTTTCTATACTTGTACATATTTACTGTTTAATACATCCTTGCAGTTCCACAAAAAATAACTCCTCATAGAACTTTATGATCTGCAGCTATTTATTCATATTTTAGACACTAATGTATTAAATTTAAATATATATGCTTAAGTAAATCTGAAAGAGAGTTTTAACATTAGAGTGTTTTTCTACTCTAGGATTAAAGGATTATGTAAAGTTTTTAAACCTTTAATGTGGTGTCATTGAGGTTATTCTATATCAGTGTGGAGGAGAGGAGCAGCTCCCTCCCCGCTCGCCGTCTGACTCGCTCCTCTGCACTGTTTTCATCCTTTGTGGGCGGAGCCTGACTCCCGGCYTGCAGGCGTTGAGCTGATGCTGGTGGTTCTGACGAAGCAGTGGGAAGGTCACCATCATCCTGCAGGGCAGCTCCCAMCCTCCTCTTCCTCTGCACCATCATCGCTCATGACTCTCGTTAATCTGCTTCCATTTCCATTCGCTTCCTGCGGGATTTTGATTCGAAGACGGTGATTTTAGGACGCGTTTTGCTGGAGAAGGAGCCACGATTTAGCTTCTCTGTATGCTGAGGTTTGAGGCTGTGGTCTGAAGGAGAGGTTTGTTCTTTTTTTAGCAGCTGAAAACATCACTAAACTGATGGTTTAAACTTTTAGCAGCCATTTAGTGAGATTAAGTCAATATTATTACTTCCATCTATCAAATGAGTCATTTTTCTTATTATGYCTCGTTCAGGAAATGGTGCCATGACTCTGTTTTTTTTCTAAGTATTTGATTTTATTTTCAACTTATCTTTGGTTTTATTGAAATGAATGGTGACATTTAAATTTAAAAAATGTTTGCTTTTATATGTTTTCTTTGCTACTTTTATTATTTAGCTGTTACTGC